CAAATCTCCACGTGGCCCAGAGCGAGACAACACAACCCACGTTATTTCAAAGAGCTGAAGGAGAAGAGGAGCTCCAGGAGAGGTTCATTGCCTGGTGAGGAGAAAGACTCCATCCCGGAACGGGAGCCCTCCCCTCCTGCCTAAACCGTCCTTGCCTCAGGAGCTGACAACTTCCCTCCAGTGTCACTTCTCACCAGAACCTGCCTGGTGTTGTCAAAGCCCCGTCACGCTTTGTCCCCAGGTGGCTGTGTCGTTGCAGCGCTGGTGCAGTGAACCTTGCAGATCCACAGCTCCTAACGCAGTTCGGCAGCTTAAAGGCCTGGTAATTAGTAGTGAAGCACCTAGTAACATACTAGTTACTTACAGTAACCTGCATTTCTATTTTGTCATTAACAAAGGAAAACATTTTATCCCTGACAGTAAGTGGAGACTGGCTTGCCCTAGGATCGAGTGAGAGAAGACACTGAAGGTTCACATTCTCCTCTTCCCTTGGAGATCAGGTAGTCACTGCTGCTCTCTGACCTTCTCCTTTTTTATTTATAAACTCTTAATGATACTTCCCTGGCCATAGCAAATCTCGACCACCACAGAATCCCCAAACACAGAAAAAGCGGTTATCTGAGCCTTCATCAGCTTCCCGACACAGCAAAGAAGAGGAGCAGCATATGCTGCAGAGGATTTTTTTCACCACGGACACACAGCCAATTTTCCCCAGCCCAAGATAAGATGCTGTTTCCAAAGGGTGAAAGCAAGCGGTGGCAGCTCCAAGCAGCCCCCAACCTGTGGCCAATGGTGCATTTCAGATGCCACTCTGACCCAATGATGGCGTCAGCAGCCACTCTCCTTTCCCTCACACGGGCAGCCCTCTGCCAAGAGGGCTGGTGTATCTGATGAAGCCAATTCTCCAGACTTCATGGACTCAAAGGAGGGGAACCTGTCCTGTCCCCATCTCTTCACAGGTGCTGGTGGCACCCAGGCCACGACAGAGAGCTGTGAGGGGTGCCAGAGGCACCAACCCCCAGAAGTAGAAGACAGCCATGGCTGGGGATGTTCTGCATGGCTGTAGGTGCCCGCTCCCGGGAGCCTGTGGTCTGGGGGCTGCCAGGGGAGCTGGCGGGGGGATGTGGGCAGGCAGGGGACAGGAATGGGAGCAGAGAGGACCTAGGGCACCATCTGGTGGCTTCGCTCACTGCCTTCCCTAAATCCCTGTCTCGCAGGGCCCCAGAATTGCTTGGCCAAGGGCTGAGGCAACACCAGGTCTTTCCAAGAGAGAGCCCAGCAGGGAGGAGAGACCCCCGTCCTTGGCCCAGACTCGCACACCCTTAGGGCACTGCTGGGTGGGACAACGGTGCGAACCAGAGCAGTGATAACCATTTCACCTGGGTGCTGTTCGGTCAAGCATCTCCCTTGATAAAGAAGCAGCCCTGGCTGGGCATTTAGAGATGATTTACAGCAGTGACACCCCTGAGAAGGAAAAAGAAGAGGAGTAGAAGACAGAAGCGATGAAGAACACCACCTTGGACATACATTTCATTGTCGTTATCCACCACACCAGGGTCTTTCTTATCTACAGATAAAGGCAAAATATAGTTGGCGTGTTTCATACAACAGAACAGTACTCATGCAAGAGCTTGTCCTCTGCAGAAAGGATGAAACCAACAAACCAACAAACCACTCAACTGCACCCCGGGTTTTGCCTTCTCAAATTAGGACTTGCCATAAAGCACTGTGAAGGAGTTGTTTTAAAGGGCCTAGACGACCTCAGTGTCACCAACACCCTTCGTAGCAATGCCAGCTAAGACAACACATTGAGGATGATGATGGTGAGAAGCTGCATCTCTCAGGACCAAAGGCTCACACCTGATGGAAAGGACAAAGGATCCCAGAGCTAACACGACACCTCTTTTAGAAGAAGGCAGCCAGCGCATTTCCACCTCGCACCACTGCTTACTTTGATAATGGGTCTCCACTTCCCTGAAATCCTGTCAATGCAAAAGGATAATTCAACACCTGGGAATCAAAGATTATACCACCGTAACCTGAAAGCATGCTCTGTGCTTAACAGCACCATGCTGGGGGAAGCAAGTGGAGCTGAGGCCCTTAGGGACACAGTTTTTAAGAGGAATCCATTCTTGACATTCATTTTAAAGCAAAAAGTGTAGAGTGAACACAACAAGCCAGTCATCACCTCTCACCTTTGTGGAGCTGGGGGAGCCAATCCTTAATTTCTCCTCTTTTTTTTTTTTTTTTCTCTTTTCAATTGCTCAAGACTTAAAAATGAACTCCTCCTCTCCTGCTAGTAATACTCATTTTCTGCATCTGTTCTCATGGGCCATAGAGCCAGGTAAGACAAAAAGACCAAACGACTGCCTTTTTCCTGAACAAATCTCTGCTACAAAGTAGCTGTACCAATATAATAGAAATTATATTTCCTAGTCTCTCCTACTTGTGCCTGAAGGCATTTCCTCATACCTCCTTGGAAAACTCTGTGCCGTTTAAAAACATCCCTGCTCTCACAGTCTCCTGCTTTATACCTTTCTCTCTCACACACTCTGACACTACTGTGGCTGCCCATGGTGCACGATGCTAAAGACGTGATATTAGCTTCTGGCTACGTAGCTTCAAAACTTCCTCTGTCTCATGCAGCAGCCTTTTACCCTCGCAGGGCCAACCCAAAACCCCTTCAAATCAACGCAGCGACTCCCCCCGACTTTGGCAAGCTGTGGCGCGCAGCCCAGGTCCCCAGACTTGCCAGTGGTTCTTGGAAATTTTTACTTTTTCATTTAAGGGATCACAACCTGGTGTGATTCTTCCAGTGCCTTAGCACTGACTGTTCTAGAATAGCCTTTTCTATTCCAAATACCGTTCTTCCTCTCGTGTTTCATTTTAAACAGCTTCAGCTAATTACCATACAGCATTGTTCAGGCATAAATGTAAGAAAGAAACACACTATTTAAACAGCTAACAGAAAGACAAGACAAATCAATTCACTGCAAAGTGAGATCCTTGCCAGGAAATTTCCAGTAGCACCCAGTATTCTTAGTGTTTATAACATTTAAAAAGCAAAACACAAAACCCAAGCAGCATTAATTTGGAAGTTTTCACTTTTCATCTAATCCACCAGCTTCTGCTGAATACTTTATTGCCATGCTGCAACATATTTATATTCATCTCATCATTTCTTCAAATTTGTTAAGGAAAAGAATTCTTATACCTGTACCACCCTCTGTAAATTCTTCTGTGAACACAAATGTTTTCTGGTGATATTAGTAAACACTAAATTTTTTTACTTCAAAAATACTTTTTTTGTAATTGTCGACATCACTTAACAAATGGAAAACGGGTCGAATAAGGCATGCTGTCTATTTGTTGCTCTTTCTGAAATGAATTCCTCAACACTGGGAAGAGAAAAGCATTTTCCTGTGGTTAAAGAAAGTCCAAATTGCATGTTTGAAATCTCTTCTAATAAAAAGAGCAAAGCAATAAGCGGATTATCTCTTTAAACATAGTATAGGAAGGCTGGAGGCCCCGGAGACATTTTCCATAGCCTCTATCTCTGATGCATAGCAACATTATCTTCAACTAGAGAGGGTCCTATGACCCTGGAGCTCAATTTTAATTTGATCTTCTTCTTTAAAGCGGTTTCTATGATTCCTCTCAAGTTATGCTGCATATTCTTATTTTGGGTTGGTCTTGTTTGGTTGTTATTTAGTTGTTGTTTTTTAATCTGAGATAAAACAACCTCAGCTTTTTGATCCACTGGTTTGATCGTGTTACATGGATATTTAATGTAACCTCTTCCCTATCAGAACTAGAATATGCATCAGCACAAATGGTAGGCAAGTTCCAGCTGAGAGGAGAGAGAAGAGCTTGGATAGAAAATTCCCCTCTAGGGCCTCCCTCAGTCCTTCTGAGTTTCAGAACTGGTCTACCTGGCCAAACAACGTGCGGGGACGGGGGTAAATGAGCTCTGTCCCCTTGCTGGGAAATACTGGTCAGCTGAAACAAAGGCAAACCTCTAGGTTTTGGTGGGGCAGAGCTGACCATGCCTGCTCCCACAGAGGCTCAATATCGCAAGCGATAACAATGCTCATTGCCAAGAAGACCAGGAAACTGGGGAGCTCGGCTTGAACTTCTCCGGGCTGGAACCTGGCCCTGGACCCGCTTGGCTTATGCAGCCCCAGCAAGGGAGTTCCCTCGGGTTCCCACCTCCTTGTTCCTCTTCCTTGTTCTGGAAAGGGCACTGCCACTGAGATGTGTCGCCAGGCAGGGATATTTTCTCTGTTTTCCTTTTCTCCATCTTTATCTCTGTCTGCGCATCCAGTCCTCACTGTATACTGCCGATATTGCTGCAGGGAAAGCATTTACTCAGAGGCACTGATTTGAGTCGACTGAGTACGGTCACAGCAGGCATCTGTGACTACTTGATGGGATTAGCAGATTATGAGGAAGCATGTTTCACTGGGGGGTTCCTGAGAAAGGAAAAATGGGCAGGTGGATGCTTGGATCTCGGTTAAACTATGCATGAAGGCCTGATGGCCACGTCAGGAAAGCCACAGGCACAGGATCAGATGGACTGCTGCAGGTCAGGACTGGAAGATCAAGCCAGCAAGCAGGGAGGGCTCTGGATTGTCCTATCATTGACAGAAGATCGAGATTTAAGTATTTCAGCCAGGCCAGGTGAAAGAAACCTGCCCAGATCCCATCTGCACCATTTCTAAGATACCTGTGAGTGCTTGACAAAAGCAGCTTTTCTTTTGCATCAACGAGCTCTGCTGCAAAATAGCTTTGCTGCATCAATGCAGACTGAGGCCCAGTGGGATCTGAACAGATGCATTCTGTCGTTAACGAAGGGCAGTTTAGAAGGAGCCAGGGGTTCAGAGGTCCCTCGTGGTTGTGCCCTGAAGTCACTGTGGATCTCTGCAGAGAACTGGGGATGTAAGAGAGCAGTTCTGCTGTACAGAAAGATGTCTGGTCCACATAGGGTCAGATCTTCCCTGTTAGATATTCTCATACAATGTATCAGAGGATTCTTCTCGAGTTGCTTGCTCCTTAGGTGTCTGCAGAATGATGAAAAGGAAAAAAAAAGAAATGGAGGAAAATTATTCAAGAGATGATGAATTAATTCTTAATAAGCAGACACTGACGTTTCTTCTGTTAGAAATGGCTGTAAGTGATCCACTGAAACGGAAGCCACTACAGTGAGAAATGTTGCTCCGCCAGAGACGAACGTGACTAATCCAGCCCAAGGGATAAAGATGCCTCCTTTACTTGTCACTCTTCCCCCAAAAAGCTGTCAGACAGGGAGGGGAGGGAAAATTGGACTTGGTGAAAAAATAAATCACTTTGGATTCTGTGAAGGAGGAATTCCCTGACCTCCTCAATCCTGTTTCTTCAACAGTTGAGTCTATTCCTCACAACCGTTCCTTGTGTAGACAAGGCGCTGACAGACTGATATTTTAAGCGCTGTGTGGCACAGGCCTGCTGTAAGCAAGGTTACACAGCAAGTAGCTGAAATGCCACCGGGTGAATGAAGCCCTACCTACACTAGCATTTTCTCTGCTGCCACCACCAAAGGGAAACATTTTACAAAAGTGCTGAGCGCAGGCACCTCCAAAGCATGTGGGATTAACTCCTCGCTACCCAAGCTGGCTGACAGTCCAGCGCGATGGCGTGCAAACGCTCTCGTTCCAGGGGCTCTCTGCCCTGCTGCCCTTTACAGCTCCCCCTCTATGCGCAGCATCCTGCAGCACGCGCCGGCCTGGACCCTCCGCAGCGGAGCCAGCTGCCGTTCAGCAATCCCAGCTCCCACTCACGGGCCAAACCCACTGGCCCACAAGTCTCACTCTTAGGGAAAACACTCTGTTATATTCTGGCACCAGCCAGCTGGAGGATGAGAGTCCCAGGCGGTCACAGCTCAGGATGACTGAGAGGGAAGCTGTCAAGGTGCTTGCAACAGTAGTGGAAAGCGCAGCCAAATTCTCCCGTGCAGAGATCACGGGGCCCTGCCGCTCACCCTTCCCTTCCTTCTGACCAGCACAAGAACTGAGGACGCTTGCCGGTGTCTGCTCTTGCTGCGAGAGCTCATCCCATCCCCTCCCTTTGCTTTCTTCTCCTTTGTTTCTCCCATTTCTGCTTCAACCTTTACCCCACACTGGCTGAGACCACCAGCGCCAGACCCGCTCACACACAGATGCTCCTTTGCTCTTGCTTTGTTGCTTTGCTCCTGCTCTGTTTTACAGACCTGCTGCCCCCCAAAGCAGTGGTTGAGTGGCGTGGGCCACACACAAGCAATTCAGCGCAGCCCAGACAGCTCCATGGTAGGGAAAAAAACCCACACGTGCTGCATCTCGGCATCCAGACTGAGTCATTTCGAAGGGGGCAGCTGATAAAGGTATACACAAGAATAAATAGGACAGGGAAGAGGGATCAGGACCTACTGTTCTCCCTATCCAAGTAATTAAAAATGCAGCAAGAACATAAACCCAGGGATGTTGTCTTTTCAGCGCATATGAGGCACTGGCGTATAAGACAGCCGATATAAACCAACCCGTGCTTCCCCTCGATAATCAGATCCCTGCCGCTGCCTCTGCTACCACCAACCGCCATGGTGCCACAGCAGTAACTGCAGGAGCCGGCCTGGGGACCAGACCGCATGGCAAGTAGCTCTGATGCAAAGAAGGCCGCTTGATTTTAGACCTCCTTTTCCTAAAAGGTGGGAGTTGTGAAAATGCCTCAGACGCTGGAAAATACTGTCCTTCGTGAAACAGAGGGATGGTGCCAGCTGAAGCTGGTGCCATGCTCCACACTGCATAGGTAACCTGGGGAACCCTCCCCAACAGGACATCAGTGGGAGGAAGCAAGAGACATTTTTCAGGAACATTTTCCAACGTTAGAAGAGTGAATATGGTTCTTTAAGCAGATAAGAGTCTGGAGGGGAAAAGAATAATGAAGTTCTGAGGACAGGAAGGAAATGTTCCCTGGGGTGCCTGATGCAAGTTTTGTCCCTACAAAACAGCGAATGCCTGCCAAAGGCAGGGTAGAGGGCTGTGTGGGCCTCTGGTCTGCTCCATGTGGCCCCCACAACTGATCTGCACCTGCATATTCCAAGTTGTAGCTACTTTCACTAGGAGTGGATTTAGTTCCTTGTCTCTAACTTGTAACTTCTAGCCCAGCAAGAAGATCTGAGCCCAAAACGTACCCACACTTCCTTTTCCTAAGCCCCAGAGCCGACAGGAGCTGTATCAGCCCGGCCTCTGCTCAGACCATCTTAGCTTCTGCTACCATGAAATGGCTCTCAGGCGCTTAATGCCAGTGAGAGCAAAGCTGTGCCCAAGGTCTGCCCCTGCTGCACAGATTCCTCTACCCCAGAGGACTTCTCAGCTGCCTAAATAATCTGGAAAGGGAATAGTAGGGAGCAGCATCTGGCCAACTCTCCATGAACGTCCGTCCCGTTCAGAGGGAACAGCAATGCCAAACCCCTCGATGCCTTTCAGCGTACGTCATACAGCAAAGCATCTGCGTGAAACCGGGACTGCCAGATCTGGTAGAGCTGCAGGAGCAAGGGTTCTGCCGGAAGAGGGAAGATAGGCTACATGTGCAGCCCAGCTGGCGAGCAGATGCCACGTCCCATTTTCCGCTTTTGGTGGGACTGGAGACACACACACCGCTAGGGCCGTGGCAACTCTGTGGGTTTTCTTCCCCCATGCGCCCAGTGCATAAGGGAACTCTCCAAGAACAGGGCCCCAGCCCTTACCTCCCCTGGAGGACTCTTCCTGGGTGACGGGTTGTTTGTGTTGCTCTTGAGGACAGAATAGACATCAACTTGCTGCAAATCCAGGCTCTGCACAGGGAAGAGAAAGGAGAGCAGGGGTCAAATAAATTACTCAGGTTTAAGACAACTAATTGCCCACTGGGTTGCTCCCCATCTCATGCCTGACATTTTTTAGGAACGCCTGCCATCTCCAGAATTTTGAAGTTCCTGACCTGAACTCGGGCAAACAGAAAATCCTTTTGCCCTGAAATCTCTACAATGCAGCTGCATCGTCTTCCTTTTTCAGGCTCACAGAGACAGGCTTTGAAGTTACCTACCCCATGTAAGGCAGTGGCGAAGAATACCAATGCCCCTGCCTCCTTCTGCTCCAAATTGTCCCAGAACATGCAATAAAGACCCCTGTGCCACATGAAAGGACGTTGTGCACCATGGGGACCACAGGTAACGGGCAGCGCTCTGCATCGCCCAGGACTGCTTAGGTGCCTGACACCCACAAGCTCTTGCTCATGGTTATTCTGGGCACAGAAAGGTGAGAAGAGGAATGAGACTGAAGGTCCTGAAGCACAGGGGCTGCCAAAAATGGGAAACCCTACATCGGGCATGACTTCTTTTTATTGACTGGGGGTTTTTTCCAAGCCAGAACTCTCCTTTCTTCTTAGAGTGAGCAAATAACAATAAAAGAAAAAAATCAGTACACTCCCAAGCCCTCAAATGTATCCGTGGTCCCACACAAGAGGAACACACGCATGCCCTACACGCGTATGCACCCGCCAGTCTCGCGGGTAATCGTGTCATGGGAGATGCGTGTCAGTTTGAGTGATGTTCCAGATCTGCCTGAAGGATCAAACATAACAATCAGGAGGGCTTTTCCATGTGTGTTTCAAGGATGACAGCAGGTTGCCAAGGTGGCTGTTTCTCTGGCAACAGGAAGATGGGAGGAGCTCCGGCTGCAAGAGGGGCAGATGGCATTAGTGGAGAGACTGCAAAGGGAGCGAGGTGCCCTGCAACACGGCGAGGAGGACGAGCAAAACGTGGAGGTTTGATTCTGTTGCTGTCAAGCACCTGAAGCCTCATCATTTCACCCGGAGTTGCAAATACTTGGCATCTTTTGGCCAGCGGGATAGTGCTTTGAACAGAACCAGATGATAGAGGAGCAGCATTTGGGAGCAAGGCTTGGAACAAACTGGCCCTCAGACACGAGGGGGTCGCAGTGAATGGAGCCCCACACAGCTCTCCCATTCCCACTCCTCCTTCAGGAACAGTCAAATTATTTCACCTGTCTGCTTCCCACTCCCAACAACCCGCTTGCCTACGCAGATATTCCTAACTATTCGCATGTGCACATGCGCACACAGAAAAATCCCATTTCCCCGTCCTCATTTTCAATTCTCTTTGTGATGCTCGCATCAACGGCCTCGTCCCGCGTGTTGCGCTCCCAGCAGCCTGGCTCCATGTCCCCTTGGCAGGACAGGCAGCCTCTTTCACTGCTCCAGTCTGAAGCCACTCGCCAGCAAGAAGGATCCTTTTGGTGTTTAACCTCCAAAAAAGATTCCCTCCCTCCACAAGCCAGTTGGAAAGCTGGTGTCTCCAACTGCCATTTGCAAATTAATTACTTTTACTTGGTCACTGACCACCTGCTACTGTCACAGTGGAGGCGCACAAGGCCTCTCCCTGCTGGCAGATGCCTTCCCATCCCCAAGCAGCCTCCTTGTCTCCCTCGCACTGGGAAAAGCTCCTGTGCTCTGGAACCCGCCTGCGCTGCAGGAGTTCTGTTTGCTGCTCAAAAAAGCTTGTTTGAAGTGTAAAGCGGATGAAGCGAGTCCCTCGGATTGTTATTTCCAAGCTGCTCGTTAACTAGGCAGCTAAGCTGGAAGACAGAGGAAAATACAGGTTTGGGTCAGTGAGGCAGAGCGGCTCCGGGGCTGGAGAAGGACAAAAAGGTCAAGGGACAACCTGGCATCGTAGTCAAAACAAAGTGGGTGCCCAGCTGCCCCCTTATTACCGGAGCTTTTTGCTACCTGCTGCTTTTCACTGCGTACACCCACCCCAGGGACCACCCGGTAAACGGCGGCAGCTGGAAGAGCTGTTGGGGAAGGCATTTGCTCCTGGAAGCAGGATGGCTTTGCAGAAGGTGCGCCAGGACCCTTCTCATGCCAGGGGTGAGCCTTGCTGCCACGTAGGATAACCCAAAGCATTTAATGAGCTGCACCAGCCAGTTCCAAGCCCTAACTCTGATGTCCAGCGCTGCCTCCTGTTGCTCCTGCACCCAGCTCCAGGCCTGCAAAGACACTGTGCTTCCCTGATCCGACTTTTTACCAGACTCTGACCTCTTGCTTTCCTTCACATCTGGCACGTGCTGGCGTCCTGTCCTGTTCCCTAATCTCTGACCTCCTTTTTTATCTCATCACTTGGAGTTCTCACCTGTCCTTCCCCTTTCCTTGCCCCAATGCTGACCACAGATTTCTGCCCTCCCCATGAATTAAGCACTGTGTTCAACACCCAATTTAACACCAACAGGTTCTCACAACGCACCTAATTTCAAACGCAGTTTGCAGGGCTGGGTTTACACCGTGCAGAGTCCCAACAAAATTTAGCAATGGGGCAAAGGAAATAAAGTTTGTCGACTTTCCACTCCCATAACCCGTCCTGAGGGCTCATCCGACGCAGGGTCTCCATCCCCGGGCTCTCACCCTTTCTCCCCGACTAACTTCCCTGTTAAACCTCGCAGGCCCGTGCTCCCCGCTCTTCACCTCGCAGCCCTGCTCTCACCGTGTGCCACGTCTGCGGCAGGAGTTGCTGCCTCACGCCTGAACGAGTCACCTCGCAGCAGCTGCTCCACCATAAAGTAACCTCCCGTGGGGCAGGCTCGTACCCCCCGCAGCAGGCAGGAGATGGTCCGAGGCTGCTTGCAGCTCTGCCAAAGAGGGCTGAGCCACCTGCCCTGCACACCGGGCTGGCCGAGAGCCCCGCACAGCTGGTGTGTGCTTAACAGGCTTTGGGGGAAGGCTGGCTGGGCCAGGTCCATAGGGCTCCTGCGAGCACGGGGTCCCAGCCAGCTCCCGGGACTGCCTGTGCCTAAGGCTGGCTCTGCTGGCTTGCTATATTAGCCTTAGTGGGGCCTCCTGAACAGAACAACATGATGAAACATGTAATTAAGATGGAGCTAAGGATGCATGACGAGGCCGACTGAGCGAGAAATGGATTTGATTTTTTTTTTGTCTCCTCGCAGAAATCATCCACTTCAGCAGCAGGAAACTACCCATTCGGATTTTTATAAGCCCGAATTAAAAAGAAATTACTTGATACAAATGAAAAGGTTTATAACCTGCAACCTCCTTTACTCAAAGCACTGCTTTTTGCCCAGAATAAACATATCATGTACAATACATAGGGCTTTTTTTAAAACCTCTACTCCATAAATTAAATGGCCACAAAATGGTGCCCCCCCCCCCCCAAAGTGAGAAGGAGGAGGGGGCAGGCCCATCCTCTCGTTCATATCTGCCCCTTATCAGGTCTCCTGCCTCCTTGGCAGAGCTTTGCTCCTCTCTGTAGTAAATCCTCCAGAGCTTCGCTTTGTTTACTTTAAATGATTAATGCAGCAGAGCTTACAGGTTTTCCTCGGAGAGACATTTCCAGCCCTTATAGACCTCGCAGTCAGAAAGGTTTCCTAATATTCAGGCAACATCCTTCTCTACTCACTTTCATTTTATTCCCTCTTGTTTGTCCCACAGATCACGGGGGGAAAAAAACAACACCCTTCCCTTCTTAGTGGAGCAGCCCTCCCATGGGAGAAAAGGGAATCCATTTAAAATGGAGCTGGACGGGTTGTAAATAGGATTAGGGGTCATGGTTACTTGAGGTAGCTGAGGTCTGGGCCTGACATTTCAGGAGAGCCACTCCAATCCCATTACCTACGACGCTGCAGCTACTGGGCTCGAGGAGTGGGAGCCATCGGCGTTCCCCAGTGGGGGGAATGGAAAAGGAGATCCTACACAATGAAAAGGGAAATGCTCCAAAAAAGAGACTCCTTTCACTTTCTTCCTGCCCTTCTCCCTCTGAGAGCAAGACAGTCTTCTCAGGACTGCAGTGGTGTGTGATGCTGACACCAGTGAAGGTGTCATAGCAGGGGCTCTGAACAGCTGGGGTTGTTGGGGGGAGCGCTTCTCTCCATCCCTTCCCTGAGCCCTCACTCTCCAGCTAGGCAGGGCATGTCCTTGAGACCCTCTGCAGAACAATGTGGGGCTGAGATCCCTTCCTTCCTGACTTCTGGAGTCCCTTCTACCTCTACCAGCAGGAACCCTCTCTGGCTCCACGCTTGCTGCTCTGTGCCACCACGCTGCTGGCAGAGAGCAGGGTGCTGCCCAGCCCAGCACGGTGCAAGCCTTTGGCTCTGGGGAGGCCACGAGTGGGACCAGGATGGAGACACCCAACACGCACAGTCCTGGGAGAAGCTAAGCAGGGCCGAGCACAGGAGCAAGGTCACCAGTACCAGGCTGGTGTGCAGGTATTGCTGATGCTTCACATCGTGATACTGGTGGTGTCTGTACCGTGGCGGGGCAGGGAAAGGAAGGGTTGTACCGTGACTGTGGACAGAAGGGATGGAGGGCGATTCTGGTACTCACGTCATAGACCGGAGGTGGTGGTGGTGGGCTGGCTGAAGGGGGCTGCGTTTCCACCTTCTGTGTCAGGATATTTAGCTGGCTCCTTCTAGGGCACAACACCTGGTCAGGACAAGACACCAAATGACACATTTGGAGAAAACACCATCTCCCCGAAGGCAAAGTGAACACCAACGTCATGCCAAAGCCAGGTGCTCGCAGACCCCCTGAGTGCTTCCACAGCAAAGAGGGCTGGCACGCTCTGCACAACGCGGGCTGGTCCCTTTCCTCACCACAGGGTAAAGTGGAGGAGTCCCGGTGCCTTACACCAGAGCAGAGGAAAGGAGAACTGGGCTCTGTGCACACATACAAATCACTTCCGCCACTGAAACTTTGCTAGACGGAGAGTTTAAGTATTTAACAGCACACAACAATGCTGTAAGACAGAGCGTAAAGCAGGGCCCTGTTCAAAGCGTGTGTGGGAATTTCAGAGGGGCAAAATGCATAGAACCATAGAATCATTCAGGTTGAAAAGCACCTTTAAGATCATCAAGTCCAACCATAAACCTAGCATGGCCAAGTCCACCACTAAACCAATGCAGTGACTTTTGTCAGGATTTGGCCAGGAAGCTTTTGCTAATTCGCAGTCTAGAGGGGAGCGCCAGACGACCATTAACGATGACATATAGTCACTGATACACTAACGTGGAAGTTCAGCACAGAGTTGAAGGAAGAAGATTTCTTCCTCTGAAATGTTTCTTGCATCAGATGAGTTCTCCTTGAACACTTTCCATTCATGCACAGATAAGGGTTAGCCCTGCTCAGCAAGCAAGAGAGGAGGCAGAAAAGGCAGAAGGCTTTGCTAAGTATCTCTGTTCTAATTCGGAAAGAAGTGGGATGATTATATTCACATCACATGAAAACGATGAACTGCTTTCCAGTCCATTAGTAACTAAGGAGGATGCTAAATAGCTTCTCTTAAAGATAAACATTTTTAAACCAGCAGGTCTGAGCAAGCTGTGGTGAGAAATATGGGCTGTGTTCTGCAGGAGTGCAAATGTAATGACTGCACGATCTCTTCGGGCCCCACGGAGAGCCCATAGGTGTGAGACTTGCAGGCCCACCTCAAAACCCAGAGATGCCAATCGGCAAGTCGTGACAGTGCCTCCCTCCTCATCCCAACGGAGACAGTGTCTAGGCAAGCAGAGATGGGGGCCTGTCTCCAGCCTAGTCACTCTGCCGCTTACGCTCCTTCCCCTTCCATCAGACTGCCTGCAAGGTGAGTCTCACGAGATTAGCAGGTCTGCCAAGTGCTGCCATTCCGTTTTCAACCTCATGATCTCTGACGGTGTGTGCTGAAGCCTGATGCTCCTTAGAGTCGTAGGACGGTACCAGCAGGACAGCCTCCACATCCAAATGCACTCAGAGAGTCTGCTGTCATGGTGGCAGAGCAGCTTGAAAGAGTAAATATGGGGCATACTCTACCTAGAAAACAACACTCCCCAAATTCTGTTCTAAAAGACATCTTTTTTTTTTTTAAGCCAGCCTTGAGATCTCTGGAAGAATGCAGAGGATGCCATTTGAACGCCTGGGGGTGGCGGTACGAGGAACAGTAGGTTTTCCCCAAACAACAGGGATTCCAGTATCAGGACTCCAGAGTTTTTTTCCACAGGGCCCTTGTCTCATCCAGATCTTTCAGCCCTACTTTCGGCTTTTCTTCTCCTGCTCTCTACATCCTTTCTTGCCCACTCCTGGTTTCCCCTTTGCTCTCAGCTACTCATCCCAGCTTCCACTTCCTTACCCAGCTGGTCCCAACCTGTGCCACTGGTCTGCTCACCCAAGGGGCCCTGTCAGTCCAGTCTTAACTCCCTCCTCCAAGCTCCAGTGCTTCCTCACTCCAGATTCCAGTCCCAGTTTCCCTCTCAAGGCTCCTTCTTCCAGCCTCACAGAATCACTGCTGTTGGAAGATACCTGCCTCTGGAGATTGTCTAGTCCAATCCCCCTCTGCTCAAAGCAGACCCAACTAAAGCAGGTTGCTCCTCAGGTCCTTGTCTCTCTCTGTTTTTCCAGTTAGTTTGGACTTCCACACAGGCTTCCTTGGGATCCTTGTCCTGACTTTCCTCTCTCACTCTGTCTCTTAACATCTTCTCTGCCAAACACATGCCCAAGGCTCTGGTCCCCATCCCCTCAACACTGCCGACTGCTTTCTGTGGTGCCCAAGCCATGGCTCAGGACCACAGTTGCACGGTCTCTTTGCAATCAGGTTGTGTCCTTGAACCAGAGTAGCCTCCGTCTTGAAGGAGGATTAGAAACAGGGAGAGCCCTGCCCTCCTCCTGCCACCAAAGCTGCAGCAGACTTGCTTGGGTGCACAGGGCATGACCTGTCTGTCTGGCACCGTGGGGAAAGGCAGCCTCGCAGAGGCTCCTTTAGACAACTGAGCTTCCAAATTGACGAGAGCCATGACTGAGCATGCACAAACTGCGAATTTCCAAAAGCCCATCACAAGGCTCCATCGCCTCGAATATTCTCAGGGCCAGCACACTGCTAGTGTGACTTCTCGCCCCCCTTGCTCTAAAGCAGAACATGCCAGAGTCAAAATGATTACCAGAATTTCTTTAATGGACAAATCAATGACTCCTTTTGTCTTTCCTGTAATCTTTTTTCTCAGAAAGACCGAACTTAAAGAAAATAAACCCGAGGCAGACACCCAGCATGGAAAATTTCAGCACGGGGACTTCCAATCCAGCCAAGTTAGAAGCAAATGAAATAAATTCCTAGAATGGGTCGTGTCAGGTATTGCTTTTTATTTGGTTATAACTTGCCTTTCTTTTCCACAGAAGCAGAGCTGTTGCGGCGATGCTCAGTGCAGCAAGAAAAAAAAGGGTAATGAGGACTTCCCACCCATAAGAGGTCTCTACGTACCCTGTACCTGTAAGAAAGGAGGCAAAAGATTCACAGTGTGAGTGCAAGTTACAATCCTGCTGCATTTTTAACCCTGGAAAGAGCCTTGAGAGAACTAAAATACAGCAGCAGTGCAGAATACGGTGGCACAGGTGCACACACCCTTCGAAACCTCGTCTGACGGAACAGAGAGCAGGGTGCAGGTGAAGAAGCACGCAGAAGAGACAGGATACAAGCAGCTGCACTTCATGTAGGTTAGAGGGAGGTGACAAAACGATGAGAGCCAAGGAAGGCGGTAGGTAGAGGCTGGCAAAGGTCTTTAGTGATAGGGGCAGAAAGATAGATGGTGGAAAGCACACAGGCTATACACACTAGCAGGACGCGTACTGTAGGCATCCTCTGACCGCTCTAGCAAAGCTATTTCATCACGGCTCTTTGCATCTACACTTTCTAAGAAGTTTTTCATATCCAGCATTCGGTAATGCAAAGCCAGCCAGTCAGCAGCACGCATGTCCTCGTCACTTTTCTAGAACATTCCTCTTATCTTGGCACGAAGCTCTCCCTTGCTTTCCAGTCTGAGCATTAACAACCAACCATCTCCTGGTACCACATGGAAAAGGGGGAGGGAATCACGGTGAGCCCCTCACCTCTTCGTGAGCCCCTAACCTGTACATCAGATTATGGCGAGCACCCTAACGACTGACCTTGTGTTTGACCGCCTCTGTCACACTGCTAAGTGCCAAATCCTGAACACTGACACCTAAAAGCACCCTCTGACCCTGTGCCCAGGCTCCCTGGTTAGACCCTGACTTGAAGCCTGCTGTTCCCAGGAGGCTGCGGCAGGGCAGATAAAAATGACTGCATCTTCACGTCCCCATCTGTGCACTGGGAACAGGAGCCCAGGTCACCTGTGTGAAGTGCATTCAACTCTGATGGCACTAAGGATTGGGCATAAGTAGTATTCCCCCCTGACTTCATAGCGTGTTTGGGTAGAGGAAAAAGAGCGGAGGTCATCTTTTCATAGCCAGATCCAGCTGATTTTTAACTGCCTGCCCTCCCTTTCTGGTTGTTCACTTACCTCTAGCAAGAACAAACACTCCTTTTCCCATTTTCTCGATGTCACTCCATTTGACCTGGCAGTAGTATGTGCCCGTAGAAGAGGTGTTTTCGAGTGGTATGATTCTGTGGTTGTAAGATACAGTAGCAGTCTTATTCTCTTTTCCAGAAGGGATGGGTACGTTTTCCGACCTTCTATAGATAGACGTTTTCTGGCCCATTGAATTAATCCAGTAATAGATGATTGAAAATCTGGTGTATTTCGGCATGTAAGGGAAGATGACTTTACAGGGGATGGATATTCCTTCCTTGAGCAGCGCAACCTGGATTGGAGGTTTCTGCTGTACATCCACATTTCCCCCTGTAAGGGCAATAATCGTTAGCAGTCATCTAACATCACTGTAAGTCAGGAGAGGGCTGCTGCCCCAAAGACAGGATCACACTGTGCAAATTATGTCAGGAAGCGCGCCCGTAGCACGCAGCGTTGGCCCTTGTCAAACACGGAGTGATTCAGAGCACGTGCCCTGGGTGATCTGCCACATCTCTTAGGTAATTGCCGTGTGATTTGCAATAGCCTGTTGCATTCACAAGCTTCTCCTTTTCCCTTGTGAGCTCCTCCGCACAACGCCAGCACGCAGAAAGGCAGGAAATGAAGGAGGAAGCGAACTGATTTTGTAGCGGTGTGAGACTGTATTTCGGGCAGAGGAATAGAAAGCGATTTTCCAAGACAAACACTAGCTGGACATCTCCTGAACCTCTGCTTGGGCATCTACGTGTGAGCAGGTGATGACTCCGCGTCAGTGAAGGTGCCGTCCGCAGGCAGGTGTTATCAGCGGGACTGTGTATTTCGGAAGCATGAGTGAGGAAGGAAATTGCATATTGTGTACGGGGGCCAGCACCGGGGCCATGAGAAATAAGATGCAGCTTAATCACTCCAAACTTTCGCTCCTGTAAACGGGCAGCAAAGCGCAAGACTCGATGCTAGATACGGGAACTATCTGCAGAAGACTGGAGACCTTAAGTATCTATACGTGACAGTATCTTAGGCAGACAGATGGGAGATCATGCCCTTCACGTGCTTCCTACCTACACAGACAGGGCTGTTGAAAGTGATCTGTCACTGCAACTCAGCAGACAATGATGTCGGGAGTTACAAGAGAGGATGGATAAGCACAGATGGGGAACCATACCATAGTTCACTCCTTGTTTTGTTTAATAAAAAATAAAAAAAAACAAAGAGTGGGCTACAGGATAATAAGGAGCCTGGGGTACAGGACCTCTTTGGCTTCCCAGCCAAATCTGGGTTTAACATCAGGCAGCCTCTGGATCTATTTGTTTGGCAGCTGACATAACACCACCTATAAAGCAACTTAAGAGGAGGCCTGTGCAAACCATCGTTGTCTTTAAAAAAGGGAACTGGAAACTTACACGCAAGTCTTCCTACAAAATGAAGGATTCTTTCAGAGACATGAAAATAGAAGGGGGAAAAAAAAAAGTAGAGAGAGAAAGTAGGGGATGGGCGGGCTTTTCCATTCATGCTTTTGATGGGATTCCCTGGGGTTCTGCATCTTTGAACAGGCTCATAACAAGGCATTAAAGCTGTGCCAGAGCACAGCCAGGCTCGCTTTCCTGTCATCACGCACTCACGCTGCCTCGCAACAGCAGCATCACCTCGGCACAGCGGGACTCGGCATCGGAAAAGGCAACTCAGACTTGGGGCTGCTGGATGCTGAGCACTGAGGAAGCCTTGGGTGGGGGGCAACACCGGAGGGAGGGCACGGCCACTGTCCAGATGACATAGCCAGGGACGATAGCCTGGGAGTAAGGAAGAGCTTAGGTTACATCCCTAGAAAAAGGTTTGTAGCTGTAAAGGCAAAGGAAATACAGTACAGCTCAGTCGTTGTGAGTGCACAGTCCTGTGTACACTAGGTATAGGATTATGGAAAGGCGGTCACAGAAAATCCTGCAGACGCTGTGGGAGCGATAACCTGAGCGGTCTCTTCTGGGACTTATTTTCTAAAAAACATTCATCGTTCATCATCCTCCTCCTCATCTCTACCCAGCAGAACACACATGAATATAGTTTCTATACAAGACATGGCTAAGCACTGCTGTAACAAAACAGAGCAGAGATCCATCTTCTTACAGTATCCCAGGAGCCATTAGCTTGAGAAGAACATGCCAGGGAAAAAGCCAAACCATTTTATTTAGGTTATCTAACCCTTCTCCCATGTTCCTCCTTTCTTGAGGATTCTCTCTCTCAGCTTTGAAATGCTTAAAAGACAGAAATAGCAGCAGCGTGCAAATTCCTAGAGGGGGTCTCTGGAAATTAGCAAAAGATAGCAGCTGGAAAAGCTCTAATATGCACAAACGTGAGAGTAAACAAAAGGAATAAAGAAACGTTTGGGTTTTTTTTTACCTCCACACTGAAGCAACCAAGGAAACAGGAAGATGACTTTTAGATTAGAGGCCATGATGGGGGTCAAAGGCTGTAAGAAAGCAACCAGAAGATCCAAAAGGCAAAAGAGATGGGGGGTTTGTCAGGTATTTCCACACCCGGGTGGCTGGTTGACCCCCTCTCGTTTGCGAAGGGACGGACAGACGCTGCTTTTGGCAAGCTGTTCCTGGCAGATGCAGGCTCTTCTGCTTTTCGGTCAGACTCCTCCCCACACCGGGGTTCATTTCCCTGTACGATTACTGTGGTGTCATACCTACCAGTGGGTGTCCAAAGATTAGCCCAGAAGCTCTTGGACGCATACAGTTTTTTCTCCCAATGACCATAAAATATCACACGCATTAAAGCAAACTGTCACATTCCACAGTGACCGAAGCCTCATGTTGGAATATGGAAAAAAAAAAAAGTGCTTTGACTGATGCCGATTGAGGCCCTTTGAAGTGAATGTAGTCAAATTCGGGGAAGGACTGAACCGACTCTGGAGTGATGGACAAGCTTAAAAATGGCACAGTGGGATTTTTACCATAATTTTGCAAGGATTTGTTTACCCAGTTGTTTTGGAACAGCTATTCCTGATTATCTCACTGCATGGACCATCCAGGTTTTAGAATAAGGGCACCTCACTTGAAATTATCTTAATCAAGTGCTTTGTTCACCCGGAGCAGCTACTGAGCAGTGCTGCAGGGTGCGGGTTCAGGGCAAAGCAGCACCATCACCAGCACCTTTATGTGAAAACTCAAGCGTGGGATCACCAGGTTTGCCTTCAACACAGAAAACCAGTGCCCACATCAGCAGTCAGCACAGAGGAATGGCCCCACAAAACTTCCCTCCACTGGGTCACTGCGGAGGAAGGTGCACATATTCTAGAAGTGAGAACAACCAGGCAGCGAACCCATCCCTAACAGCTGGGATGTTTCAGATCCACACGATGCTGGCTCTGAATCAGCTTCGCAATGCAGGCAAACCTTAAGAAATCTATTGTAGGGA